ACTCCTTTTTTCAAGCATTTTTTTTGTGCCATAGATCTATTTTTATTGTGATGACATGGTATCTTCCTTGGCTTGCAGTCAGTATATGAGTGCATTGAATATTCACTAGCTAGCAGTAAGTATTTAGGGTTTTAAGCTTGTTGAGTTGAGTTGAGATGAGAGTTTGCTTGCATGAATGCACTGTTAAGGGAGCTTTGTTCGTACTTTTTCAGTATTATTTTGGCTTTATAGCTTAAATATGATTTCTGCTTGAAACCTCAGTGTAGGGCTGTACTTTAACTGTCAAACTGCAATCCCATTTCACCTTACTGTTCCCAGAACCTTGAGGTTGTACACGTGTAATTGAAGAATTTCATTGGTTAGCCAGGGACATGGCCCTTTCATTGCTGTTTTCCTACTCTTATATACTCGTAGAATCTTGCTTGCCTTTAACTTTCTTATTGCCAAATATTTTGTTTTGAAAGTAGCAACCCAATTGATCATATTAACATGTATTGTTTTGAAATTTTATTGCTGAATAGCCATTGTGCATACATAATTCTTATGGATTCAATACATGACGTGAATTTTCAGAGCAGGAGACATATTTGGCCTTGGCCACTGCATTCGTGCTTTTGAGGTTGCTCTATTTCCTTTTACCAACTCTGTCTGCATGTACTCAATTGGTTTGGAGACTGTACATCCCGAATATGAAGTTAAAGAGCTTGTGGGAACATCCTCTGGCCTATCTGAATCGAGCAATCCAGTTCTTCAATTCCCTAAAGGAGCCCTGCAAGAGAAGTAATTTGCAAGAGGGAGCGATGAATGCTAAGGCATGGCCTTCAAAGTCCTTAGCTTCGGTTTCATTTGGGGATGCAAACACCAGCCGGGTTATGCTAGTAAGTTGATCTCACTTCACTTTTTCCGGCGAAATTAGGCTTTTAGATTCTCCTTTGCTGCAGAATCTTTTCTGTGTCAGTCTACAACAAATTCATGATTTGATTTGGTTTTCCATTTGGGGCTCAATGTTTCATGGTAAGGTGGAAAATTTTACATTGGTTGGTTGTTGTAGCAACCGTCATTTCTATGTAATTTAGAATAGAATTTGTTATCACCATCCCAAAAATAAGAAATGGCTTTAATTTTGTGAATAGCTTGTAAGCTATATAGCCTTGACTGGCTGGTTTGGACCCCTCTTGTCATTCCAGATAAGTTTGTCATTTATATATCTCATATTTCTATATTATTAACATTTCTTGATAACTAATTTTAAGCAACATGTTAAACAACAGTTTAGAAAATGCCTTAGTGTATGACTTTTTCTTTTCTTCTTTTCTTTTCTTCTGGAAGCTCTTAGAACTTTACTTGTGTTTGTGTATATACTTAAAAGATGTTTAAAAACTGGTTAAACGGGGAATCTGATCTGAACTGGTTGAAATCAGGTAGTTTGGTTCTAGTTTTAAAAAATTTAGAATCATTGAATATGGTTTCGTTAGTAGATTAATGCTCAAAAGAATTGAACAAAACAAACTGAATTTTTTGATGTTTTCATTAATTTTAGTATTCGTACGTATAGGATCTTCCATGTGAATAATGGGTGTTCTCTTCTTTTTTTAATTTTATAATATGATGAGGAATGTTGGACGGAATTTCTGGGCAGCCCCGTTTCTCTCAATCTGAGCCCTAATTTCAATGTCATCTTGTGAACTAATTTGAGCAGGGTTTTTAATAACAATGAACTCAGTGGCAAGATTCCTTCAATGCTAGGACTGCTGCTGACTTTGGAGATATTGTGAGTATCTCTATCACATACCCTATTAAAATCATAATAAGATGCTAGCTGTGAATACCCATTAAATTTTTTGAATTGAGTATACAGTGTTGGCAATGGATTTTCCTAGATATGGACTCATTGGTGGCCCTATCCTAATTTCAATCTCATTGTTTTTCGTTCTTGTAGTGACATGCCTGTTAACAAAGCACATACTTTTATGTACCATTAAGTGTAGTTAATCCTAATATGATCTATGTTTGTGCATTTATATCATTGATCTATAGACCTTATTCAAGTACCCAATAAAATAAGAAAGTTTAAATACATAGAGAATCAAACACCTAATAAACACAAAAATATCTTACAAATTTACAAATGTCTCACAAAAGCAGAAAGTCTATGTTTAGTTCTCTACATTTCTAACATTGCTCTAATTAAATTACTGCGCTGGACTTTGGCAAAACAGTTGACATCACATGAAGAATGTGTTCCTATAATTCTTTTTCTCTTACATGAGCATTCGCTTAGAATCTTTTTCTTCTAGTGACTTTTTATTTTCCCCAGTTGCCAAGATCACATCTGAGGCAGGTGCACAATGAATTTCATGAAAATGCCTTGCAGGTATGGACTATGAAACTATGAAGAAGCCTATATGTTGATATTGTAAACATGATTCTAAAATGTGTACTGAATTAAATTTCAAATTCACATGAAACTAACAAATTGAAAAGAAAAAGACATGATCTTGGTTTTGTTTTAGAGTTTTTAACTGATTTGAGTATATACAGATGGCAGGAATTTCTGTTGTGGGTCGAAATTATTATGGTGTGTTCTCGTTGAGAGGTACATTGCTTAATGTGAGGGAAGCAAGCCATAAACAGATCATGGAGAACGCTGAAATCACGAGCATCAAGCAGATTCTTGGACTTCAGCGTGGAAAACAGTATGACAGTGTGAAGACTTTGAGATATGGTCATTTGATGATCATGACTGATCAGGTTTAAAACATTTAACTTCTTGTTTTGTTTTTTCTTTTGGTTTTATCTATATGCAATGGACAAAGGTGAAATTTTATATGTTACAAAAATCTGTTTAGAATGTTTAGAATCTGTTACTAAAATGTGGGACCTCTAGTGATGTTTAGAATGTCTCATGCCATTTCTTTATGTCAGTAGCTTTAAGGGAATTGAGTTCTATCCTTTTTTGTATTTTTCTTTCATGATCTTGTCAATTGACCTTGCTTCGGGTCTTTGTCATTTTTGTAAAGCTATGGTTATAATTTTTGCATCATATTTGTTTTAGTATGATCTACCGTTGTTGATTGTGTTATCCTTTGCATTAGATCCCTAATGCTAATTGCTTGTATGTGGTTGAAGCATCTATGGCACATAGATCATCAGATGAATCCTTAGTCTATGCTATATGATTTTTTTTCACTAGCACTTTATTTACCTTCAATGGCATCTGTTATAGCTGAAAATATTTGAAGGATTGGCCTTTCCTCCCCTTTACTTCTACAATGGAGGAGTTAGAGAGTTCCTTGCTACAATAAAGCAACATGTTTTTATTGCAAGGTAGGTTGTTTTTAATTTTAATTGTTATTTTCAACTTGAAATCCTTTGATTGTGAGTAATGAGCATAGTTGAAGATAGAATAAATTTGTTTTTTGGACTAGAATATATATTTTTTGTTAAATATTAGGCAATTAAAACTTTATCTACCCTGTTAAATTTGGTTTCTCAAAGAATTATCTATAATTAGAGATTAGTAAGTTGTTAGTTGTTAGTTATTGGAGGGTTTGTTGAATCATGTACCTATAAAATATAATATGGTGCATAATTTGGATTCAAATAAAAAAAATCAATCTTCACCGAGAGGTTGTCCCGGGAGCAAATATATAATGGAGCTTTAATTTTTGTTTATTATAGGTCATCAGATGTAATTTTGCCTATCACTATAAAAAAAAAAGGGAAAACTACATATCAGTGCATGTGATAAAAATAATTTTCAATATCTGGTAGTGCAACTCTTTTTGTGTAAAAAACACAGCAAATGTTACATCCCAAGAAGATTCTCACCATTTTAGCAAGTATTTGCCACACTTCCCACTGAATTGTAATCTCCCCTAGAAAAAATGGTGGAAATAAGGAAAAGCAAGGAAAATGAGAAAAGTTCTTTAGAATCTGTTGAGATCCCATGCATGTTGTTTAACAAAAATATGGCGCTAGCGTTGAAATTCCAAAAATATATTTACTCCAACAGTCGGATCCACTGTTAAGTGTGGTTCAGTTCTTATTTGATCCACACTACTCCAACAGTTTAGGGTGCTAAATTGTATTGAAATTGAATATCTTCCCCTGCTGTGCTTAATTGCCTTTACTCACAGTTTAGGGTGCTTCTTGATCCAGTTCACTTTCACTCAGTTCTTGAACTTGTGTACCAACAGGATGATCGTGCAAAATGTGCCGCGTGCAAGAGAATCAGGAAAAGGGGTTCTTACTGCTCCTTTCAGGTTACTCAAATCAAATCGCCTGGGAGTCATATTGACTTTTGCTGTCTACAAGACAGATCTCCCCTCAAATGCAACATCAAGTGAGAGGATTCAAGCAACTAATGGGTATGTTGTCTGCCTAAAAATCAAACTTGTCATTAGTTCCTTAAGGGGGAATAGAGAAGAGAAGAAATAAATAAATATACAATGATGACAATTGTATAACTGATCCTATTCATAAAATAAATTGTATTTAAAAAATATAAAACAAATTTAGAGGTCATCGCAAAGTAAAATAGAATTAATTGAGTTGATGTGCTGTCTTAGCTATAAATAATGAGTGCAGTTAGAAATTTCAGGATGCAGACAAGATTAGAAAGATTGAATTAGATAAGAACTTCATTTAATGTTTCACTACTGCCAAGCAAGTACCTTGGCAGAGTCTTCGATATCGAATCAAATGTGGAGAAGTTGCTTCAACAACTTGCAAGCAAACAAACCATACTTGTAAATGTGTATGATACCACCAACTTTTCGCACCTTATCAGCATGTATGGCTTGAATGTATCAAATGATAGGTTACAACATGTTAGCACACTTAACTTTGGTGATTCGTTCAGAAAACATGAGATGTGTTGCAGGTGATCTATTTAATCCTATCTGTTACTGTGTATTTTAGAGGGGTCAATGCGAGTTCTTAGATTGAGATTCAAAGTGATAAAATGGACTTACAACTAAGTTTGTTCTTAAAGCAGATTCAAACAAAAACCACCACGCCCATGGTTTGCGATGATGATTTCAATTGGTATCCTCGTAATTGCATTGCTTCTTGGGCATATAATCAACGCAACAGTGAATTGAATAGCCAAAGTTGAGGATGATTACCATGAGATGATGGAGCTGCAGAAACGAGCAGAGGCAGCTGATGTTGCTAAATCACAGGTATTTGATAGTTGTAGTTCATGTATTGAAATTTTGTTAGGCTTCACCTAATATGTCTACATGGTTCTAATTGAATTTGAATCCTCTGTAGTTCCTTGCTACTGTGTCCCATGAGATCAAAACCCCAATGAATGGTGTTCTTGGTAAGTTTTTGTTATTGTCCTTTATCATTTTAAGTCATTTAAATACATTGCTTTGGGGAAAACATTAAAAAATTATTTAAAAATAAACAAAGAAAGTGGGGTTGTTGTTTGATGTCTGTATATATGTTTATTCAACAGGAATGTTGCAGATGCTAACGGACACAGATCTGGATGTAACTCAACAAGACTATGTCAGAACTGCACAGGGCAGTGGAAGAGCGCTGGTTTCACTAATAAATGAGCTTTTGGACCAAGCAAAGATTGAATCTGGTAAGCTCGAGCTTGAGATTTACAGAGATATCTAAAAATCAATCCATCAAGCTGATTCACAATTTCAAGCATAGTGCACTGATTGGTTCCACTAATATGATTGATTTTTGTTCATTTGGACTAGAATATATTTTTTTCATATGTTGATAGCTGTGCATGGATAACAAATAGTTATGTTTCAAATTGTTATGCTAGATGGATGTGACTTGTGAATGAAAACTTAGAATAGTTGTATTGTGTCGAATGTTAATGAATTATGTATTGTGTCCAATGTTAATGATTCAGTTGATTTGAATGATGCTTTAAAATTATAGGTTTATTATGGATTGAATGAATTATTAGGAATTACAGGTGTATTGTTTTCCTGCTTTGACGACCAATTTATTAGTCGCGACAAATAAATAAATTTTTTTCGCAAAAAATGACAATTGCCGACCAAGAGTTTTGGTCGCAAAAAATACATCTATTGCCGACCAAAAAATGAGTTGGTCGTGGAAACTCACTTTTGCCGACCAAAAGTTTTGGTCGCGAAAAGTAACAAATGGCGACCAAATTTTTTGGTCGTGGAATGTCACAATTGGTGACCAAACTTTTTGGTCGCGAAATGTGTCAATTGGCGACTAAGATATTTGGTCGGGAAAATATCACTTTTCGCGACCAAAGTGTTTTAGCGACAAAATGAATTAGTCGCGGTAATTAAATATTTAGCGACCAAAAATTTAGTCGGCAAATCCAACTTTTGCCGACCAACCAAAATTTTGGTCGCGAATTACTTTTGCCGACCCTCAATTGGCGACCAAAGTAGCGACCAAAAAAATTGGTCGCGGATAACTTTTGTCGACCAAAAATAGACTTTTAGCGACTAATTTTTTTGTTGCCAAAAGTGTTAATTCTTGTAGTGCATGTACAAAACAAATGTTATAAACCAATAGCGAGAGTGAGTACAAAGAGTATCTACACACTCTTTTTTGAGTGTGTATCATATGCACCATTTATGGTAACTATGGTATTTGGTTATAATTTATTATATTATTGGTTATGATTTAATTATAACTCATTGTGGTGCTAGTTATATGAGAATAACTTGTCTCAAGTTGAAATTTCAATTGGTTTAGATAGTTGAGGTATCTGATCGGTAGTTATTAAACAAAAAACTCTTACTGGCCAGAATTTTTTAAAAAATTTAACTAAATCATATTTTCGTAAACTCTTACCGGTAAGGGTCTTTCATTTAATGACTCTTACAGATCAGAGACCTCAACTGTCTGGTCCAATTTAACTTTCAACTTAAGACAAACCAAATCGTAGTTATAACTTATTGTGATATTTGTAATAATTTATTGTGATTATTATTTTGATTATAATCGAAAAGTCTTTGATTATATCTTATAAGGTATTTGGTCATGACTTATTTTTTTTAATTACTACTAAAAATGATTTATTTATGAAATGTCATAACTTGCATATTAATCACTTAATCCCTTTTTGGCAGGTAATTTTTGGCCAGTTTTGGATTATTTTTTAGTTAAAGTTCAAAAAAGAAAATAAAAATAAAAATAAAAAATATTAAAATAGTTAATAAAATATATCAAATCTATAATTATTTTACTTTTTCTCTCACAAATATTACATCAACTATAAAAAAATAAAATCATCTATTCAAATATAAAAATTTCAACCCACTAAGATAACTAAAAATTAAAATAACCTATTAAAATAATAACTTCTCAACCACCCACCATATGTGGCTAGATCCCCCAATATGTATATTCCATTAATTTTTAATTTGTGATCAGCCAATTAATTTCTTCCTGTTTGCAAATGCAATAATCTACCGACGAAATATGTTTCACTTCCTATATAACCACACACCTCTTATCCTCACACCGTCACTTCTTCGTTACATATACATACAGAGAGAGAGAGAGAGAGAGAGAGAGAGAGAATGGAAGAGAAGGAAGCTTTTGATGGAGAGGGAATGCTACAAGCCCAAGCAGAGATATGGAAATACATGTACCAATTTGCAGACTCAATGGCACTTAAATCTGCTGTAGAGCTCCGCATAGCAGATATCATACACTCTCATGGCTCCCCAATCACCTTGTCCCAAATCGCCGCCGGGATCATCGACTCTCCTTCCCCAGATATCACCTGCCTGGCGCGTATCATGAGGTTGCTGGTCCGCAGAAAGATCTTCACCGTTACTCCTCAATCAGACGGCGGAGAGGCTCTCTACGGGCCAACCCACATGTCCAGATGGCTTTTACACGGCGCAGAACTCAGCCTAGCTCCAATGATTATGATGGAGAACGATCACAGGGCATTAGCCCCCTGGCATTACCTCAGCAACTGTGTGAGAGAAGGTGGTATTGGATTCCAAAAGGCTCATGGCCGTGAGATATGGGACTATTGTTCCATGAACCCAGAATTCAACAACATCTTCAATGATGCGATGCGATGTACGGCCAGGATCACGATGAAGGCGATCATGACGGGATACAAAGATGCGTTTTGTGGCGTCGGATCGATGGTTGATGTGGGAGGTGGGACGGGGGCAGCCATGGGTGAGATCGTGAAGGTGCATCCTCATATTAAGGGGATCAACTTTGATCTGCCACATGTCATCGCTACGGCGCCGGAGTACGGTGGAGTTTCTCATGTTGGGGGTGACATGTTTAAGGCAATTCCTAGTGCTGATGCCGTCTTCATGAAGGTAAGATTTATAATCAAGATATTATAATAATGAGGGTAAATTACACTCACATCTGCTGAAGTTTCTCATGATTATATACAGGGATCTGTTCTCAAACTTCAATAATTATTGAAATTTTATTTTTTATTTTTTATTTTTTATTTTTTTGTCAAGATTCCCTTCCCGGTAATTAAGTCAAAAAGTATTAACTTGATTGTACAAATAACTATAACACTTTTTACACTTAATACTTTTTAATTGTAAATTACATATATAACGTTTGGCAACATCACATTTTAATATAAAAGTCAAAAAATCATTAAAAAAATCAAAAAATCAAAAACTTATACTAAATAGTTTATTATTCTCAAATAATTTCTTTATCTTTCATTTTCTACATCTAATTTTAATTTATTGTAACGTGTTCAGATATCTTTTCACTGTTATATTTATTTTTAAAAAATTTATTATTAAGGTGAGAAATATGGACTTATTTTTTTAATGATAATTAAAATTTGAGAATAATATTGGATTGTGGAAACATAAAATGATTTTTTTATTTTGTTTTATATATTTATGAGGTAACATGTGGTAATTTTTATAAGTCAATTTTTTTATTATAAATATGAAATGTTATTAATTTATTTTTCTTAATAAAATTTTAATACACAAATATTTGTACAAAACAAAAGGAAAATTCATATTTCGTAAGTTGCTATAGTATTGGGTGATGCTAGCTAACATTTATGAAAGAGAAAATGATGAAAAAAAAAATTGAGTAAAAAACATAGAGAAGAAAACAAATAATAATAATAATAATAATAATAAATCATATGGTGTTGCTATTGACTGCAGTGACACTGCGAAAAAATAAATGAGAAAATAAATAAAAAAAATGAAAGAAACAAAATAAAGAAAATGGAATGAGATGGAAAATTTCTCCAAATATATATTTTTCATACAGCAAAAAAAAAAATCAAATACCTATATGTATTTTTAAATTTTTATTCAAACTCTAATTTCTCAAAATAATTATTTATAAAATTGATGGTCTTTTTAAAAAATAAAACATCTTTTATAAAGTTTAATGGTGATTAATTTATTAGCTCTATTTTTTTTTAGATAAGGTAATGTTTTGTTATTCTACTATATATATATATATATATGCTTGTCTTAACAATTTAGAATTTTTTTATCTCTTTATCATTTTTTTTCTAAAACTTCAGGAGAGATGAGTGAAATTTACTATTTTAATATAGGTATATCTTTGTGAATTTTTTTTCTAAAACTTCAGGAGAGATGAGTGAAATTTACTATTTTAATGTAGGGCAAACTTCACTTTACTTTCCTGTGTTATGGGCTGGGTGCACCCTCCTGACATATGGAAATCAGCACATAACTTTCATGTGGTTTGCGGACTAAAATACATACTAACTTCTATTTACAAAACGTGTAAATTTACCTTTATACCCCCATCTTCTTCCTTTTATCTCTTTTAAATTAAATCTACAAATATCATACATATGTATATATACACACACACACCTATTTTCTTTCTTCTTCCTTCCATGCTTCCAACTCTATATATAATCTATATATATGTATATATAATTTGTAGCTACATGTATGTATATATAATCTGTATATATATTTCTAAAATATGTAGCTAAGATTTCTACAATACTTCTTTCATGAAATCCCAAAATTTTAAGCTTGAATGACCCCAAATTTTCTTGTAACATTTTGAACTGCCTCTTATCTGCAACCCCCATGGTTTTAACTATGGTATTAGCAATCATCCATGTAGTATAAGGGAAGGAAAATAAAGAAAGAGGTAAAATGGTTAGCAATGAAGCAGAGTAAGGACATGGAAGCAAAGGAGACACTAGATGGATGAATGAATAAAAGTGATCAGATGTGCAGTAAGCTATAAAAGAACAAGCCACGGTGTTTAAACATTTGTTAAACTAGAAATTTTTTGCAGGAATCCATGGGGCTACCGGTATTTAGTAGCTTTCATATAAAATTTTTGTTTTAATTTGATCATGGGGGAAACTAAAAGTAGTGGCCGTTGATAAGCTAGAAAAAAGAAAAGAAGAGAAAAGGAAAAGAAGAAAAAAAATAGAAGGCTACTAATGGCTGGGATGATAGGAATAGAGAGAGAAATAATTGAATGACATTGTTTATAAATTTGAATGTCACGCCCCAAAATTAATCACAATAATTCAACAGCATAGACTAGTATAAAAGACATATCGGAATATTAGGCTTTTATTAATCAGAGTTAATTTACAAAAGGGCACATGCATTACATATACCGGATCATATGCCGGTGATAAGACACTATCCACCCACGCGGATCATATACCGGTGATAAGACACTATCCACCCGGTCCCCCAACAAGTAAAAGCAATCACCGCTCAAGGTACATACAGTAACCCTCTGACGATAGCAATCTATAACAACCCGGTATGACAATAATCAGTCCATACCCAAAATGACATCAAAACAAGACATGTTAAGCAAAACAAATGCAAAAGGTAGTCGGCGACTGGCAACCTCTATGTCACAACCCCGACACCCCTGTTTCAAGATAACCTCACCCCCAATTGGTGACTCTACACAAATAAGAGATACTAACTGAGCTAACTCTAACCCTAAAATCGATGCAAATGCAGACGAGATAAGTGAATCGGATGCACCTGTATCAATCAACACATTAGCAACTGAATTCCAAAACAAGAAGGTACATCTCACTATAGAAAGGGCAGGTACAAGATCTGGCATGGCAACCGCATACACACGCCTAGTAGGTCTCTACTCAACCTGCTCACCCCTCGGAGCATATGCCTGATGCACTGGTTAAGCCGAAGAGGCTCCCTGATTAGCCCTCGAGGCTTGTGCTGACTATACAGGTTGGTGGCTCTGTATCTGTCTCAAACCAGACACATCAGGTGTACCACCCAACTGGGGGCAAAACCTCTTCAGGTGCCCTGCCTGCCTACACTGATAATAAGTGAGTGGCTGCCCTCTCCCCTGACTCTGGCTTTGAGAATGAGCCGCAGAGATGTAGATCGTTGCCTTCCTCTCTGAGGGCAAGCTGGAGACTTGTGGCCCAGCTGGCCACACTTGTAACAAGTGAAATCTCCTTAACCACCTCTCCCAGAACCTGAACTCGGCACTAGGAAAGTGGACCTCGATTGAGCTCCTTGGGATTGTTGTGGGGTAGGACCCCTCTGCCTCTTACTGTTCCCTTGCACATCCTGACTCCTCCTGGAGCCCCCCATCATCTCCTCCTCCATCTACATCACGGTCTCAAGATGAGCGGCCGCCTCTACATGGCATCCATACTCCCTAATCATCGACTCGGCTACCTTGAACATTAGCTCGGTCCTCAACTTCTTCTCAAATGCCAAACAACGGCTCTCCTCTATTGCCACTAACTCTAGTGCAAACCTAGAGAAGCTAGTGAAGACTTCCTTGAACTAGGCCATCGGTGTGTTCAACTGCTTGAGCTGAGAAAACTGATCCCTCAACTTCTCCCTGATTGTGGCAGGCAAAAACTTGTCTTGGAAGGCGTTGACGAAGGCCTCCCAAGTCACTCCAATGCGCCTGCACACATATTTTCACCACTAACCTACATCTCTTTTTAGCTGGAAGGACACCAAGGTCACTCTCAGTCTGTCGTCCTCAATGCCAAGTATCTCAAACTTCTTCACTATCTGTTTTAGCCACTTATCTGCCTTTAGTGGCTCATTTGGATCACCCGCATACTCATCTGGATTTGACCGAAAAAGCTCTCACTTCAGAAAAGATGGCCTTGCTTCAGCTGCTTGGGCCTGGACTTGATTTTTAGCCCTGAGAATGTCCATGAATTCTCGCAACGCTCCAGCCATTTCGTGGACTAAAGCGTCCATGGCCTGTTGACCAACTGGCTCAGCCACATTGGCCTGACCAACCCCTTCTTCTTGTGCCGAAATCTTATCTGGTAAAGGCACCTTATGCCTCTTAGGCCAACGATGTCTACCACCACCACGTCCGCGTCCTAAAGCGGTGGACAACTGTAATTCACTCCACGTAAGTACATTGTCACATAATCACATACGAATTTATTTCCGGATAATGACAGTCTTGAGCGTTGCCAGAGTTCCAATTAGAAACATCAGTGATCAAGTGCTCTTCTAATAGGACTTCTAGAAACCCGTAGACTCAATCAACATCCTAGAAACTAAATACCATACTCATATAACCACATAAGCATGTTATCATGGAAACACATTAATTATACTAAAGTCTCTATCAAGCGAGACAAACCTATTATGGTAATAACCACTTCCCATGTACCCAAGTGTTCAAACCTAATACGCTCTGATACCAAGTTGTCACAACTCCAAATTAATCACAATAATTCAACAACATAGACTAGTATAAAAGACAAATCAGAATATTAGGCTTTCATTAATCAGAATTAATTTACAAAAGGCCATATGCATTACACATTCATAAGCTCTACCCTGAATCTATAGCATGTGGTACCAACAAGATGATCAACAAAATAAATGCCCTACGGGCTAACAACTTTCCAAGACGATGCTTGGTTACAAGGAAATGAGTTAGAAGCTCAATACAAGTAAAGCCCAAGTCTTGTACAAAAGATAAACACAAGAATAAATGAACTGAGCCTTTAGCTCCACAGGTCCTACCAAGCTAAGTCCTTGGGGAGGCATGTCACCAGCACCTGAAAATGTTTTCCCAAGTAGGGTGGGTCAAAGCCTAGTAGAAACAATCTAACACAATATATAAATCTTAACAAAGATAAAAATATGGTGTATAAGATCAACGCCCAATGATAAAATCTTACACAACTCTATTCCAAAACCATACTATGTCAAACTTACATCTCAATTAATGTTATCTAAATTTATTAGTCATATCCATTTCATTTAATCAACCCAACTACGGATACAACTCAGTGGTCCTCTAATCAATATAACCATCACACAAACACTTCCATCTTGCC